ACACAGATGGAGGCAGCCTCCTGTCTCCTTGGGTCTGTGACCCAGGGAGGAAAGAATTTTTCTGCTTGAGACACCTGCGGAGGGGTCGGCTTTCCTGGAATTCATGCATCCCTCCAGGAGTGGGAAAGGAGGGTGTGGGGTGGGGTGTGGACAGGAGTCATGGAGAGTGAGAGGGCCCTTAGGTGGGAAGCAGGCCTGGGAACAGGGGGTGGAGTGGAAGGGAGGGTCAGGGAGCGGGAGCAGGCCAGTTTCTCCTTATTACCATCGTACCCATGGTACACCCTTCCTGCCTGGCTGTGGGGCTGGCGTGGGGGTACGCTGCAGGTGACTCATTGTTGCAGTGGGAGGGCAGCTGCGCTCCCTCATCTCCTGGGAAGGGGCGCCACTGACGTCGGTGTGCAGTGAGGTATTTTGGGATGCCGTTGTACTTCACAGGCAGGCAGGTTCTCTCACCGATTCCTTTAACACATGCTTGGTGCTTCCCGCATGCGCTGGACCTTTGAAGAACTGACTGCCAGAGGTCTCACCTGTGTTGGCACAGGTGCACATGGACCTTCCCTGCTTTACCCTACACTGATTGAGATGACAAGGACTGGGGCTCGATTCCTGCTAATAAACGGAGTCCCCCAAGTCAGGGGTGGGGAGTAGGTGAGGAGCCACAGGCTCATGCTGGACAGGAGCTCCGCAGCCCTTCAGAGTGCTCCTTTATGAGGGGCCATGCTGGAGCTTCTCCCTGGGTCAATGAGCTGGAGCATGGCCAACGTGGACTCGGAGCCCACGCCCTTCCTTCTCTGGGTGCCTCTTGCCAGACCCAGCTGCCTGCCGTCTGCCTACCTCCGTGCATGTCTTTGCCCGGTCTCCCCTCCCTGTACCTGCCTGTTCAAGGCTGTTTCTCCGGTGCCCACCATGCTGATTCTCAGTGCTGCTCATCATAGCCCATCCAAATGCATGACAGCCCACCGCTTGTGTTGAAATGGCCAGTCGTCTCGTCCCACATATCGACGACTTGACTGCCTGTTACATGCAGAGTGGATGCTGTCGTTTCTGCTTTGTGTTCATAGTACAGTGGGGCCCACAGACAGAAACCAGTGATTCCTGCAGGGCGTCTGTGAGGCAGACAGCATGGGTACCAGGTAGGCATGGGGGGGGAGCCCTAGCAGGGCCAGTGGGGTGGTCAGGGAATATGCAAGGCAGCAGGGTCACTGTCCCCTCCCCCCAGTGCCCTGGGCAGAGAGAGCATGGGTGCAGGAGGGAGCTCCCCAGTGACTCCTGGACAGGCTCCCTGCATGGCTGGTGAAGAGTGAGGCATGATGTCTTTGAAGTGTGCAGGGACCTAGCCCAGCTGCTTCCCAGGCTCACTGGCAGTCCCGTGACTTAGAGGGCTGGTAGAGGTGGTGGAGGCAGGAATGGGAACTGGAGAGAGATCCCTTAGAAGGGTTTGTCACAGTTGCAGCAAGGCAGGAGTGTGGGGCAAGGATTTGAACAGGAAGTGAGGGGGTCCTGGTGTTGTGGCGCAGCAGGTTAAGCTGCTGGTTGTGATGCTGGCATCTCATGTGGGCACTGCTTCAAGTTCTGGCTACATGGCTGCACAGGGCCAAAGCTCACAGCTGGTACTCAATCCAGGTCTCAGGGGTGGGCAACAGGACCCTAGTGACTTAAGCAACATCACGGCTGCCTCCCAGGGTCTGAATCAGCAGGAACCTGGAGTCAGGAGTTGTAGCCGGGAACCAACCCATATACTGCAGTATGCGATGCAGGCCTCTGAATCAGCAGGCCAGGCAAACACCACCCTTTATAAACTCACATCATCTCCAAGCAGTCAATAAGTAATGTCTAATATAAAAACAGGAAGATGAGCAATTTTACTTATACCCAAGTATTGGATTTACCCTCCAGTGTTAAATAATGGCTTAGAAACCCAGACAACAAGGCTAGCACTGTGGCATAGTAAGTTAAGCCTCTGCCTGCAGTGCCAGCATCCTGAATGGAAACTGGTTTGAGTCCCAGCTGCTCCAGCTCCCAGCTGATGGCTTGGGACAGCAGTAGAAGATGGTCCAAATGCTTGAGCCCCTGTACCCACATGGGAGACTAGGAAAAAGCTACTACTAATCGGCCCAGCTCTGGGCATTGCAGTCATTTGGGGTAACTCTGCCTCTCAAATAAGGAAAGAGGAGAGGAAAGAAAGGCTTTGTTGCATTGGGCTTCTTAACCGTGACGTGTTGCTCCGTCAGTTGTGTCCGTGAAGGCGCACCCTCCGGCCTGTGTTTGAGGCTGTCTCCTCGTGTGATAGTTTACCTTCATTTAGTAGCAGTCGCTGCCAGGGTTGTTTTCAGGAGACAGAGACGGGAATGGCCATTCCCGTCCAGCTGCTGCGGAGGCATTGTGGGACGGCAAACCCAGCTGAGGGAGAACAGAAGGGACTTTGGAGAGTGAGCTGGGCTGTTTCAAGGTTTCCAAGGTGGAGCCAGGTCCTGGCACAGCTTCATGCAGCCGGCACTTGAGGTCCCAGAGTGAGGAAAGGGGGGACCCAACCTAAGCATGAGTGAAATGTAGGGCTGAGCAGTTGGTTCCCAGAGAACAGGGCCCTGACTAGACGCCAGGGAAGACGGGCCAGCCTCTGCTGGGAACAGAGGGCAGATCCGCCTGGCTGCGCCTCCGTTTCTCTTACAGAGCTTGATCTTCAGAATTACAGTCGGGAGCAGAAACATCTTGTAAGATGTGGCTCACAGAACTGGGACAGTCCTCAGGGTGTCACTGCTCAGGCTTCAGCGGCTAAGCGGGCTCTCCATGCAGAGGCTGTGGCAGTGGTCCAGTGCTGCCCTGCAGAGCCCTGGCACCCGGCTGAAGGAGCACCTTCCTCCTTGGCTCCAAATCTTACAGCATTTGCTGCTCACACGAGACTGGCCGTTCCTCCCAGTTCAGTCTCCTGCTGCAGAGGCGCGTTTTCGCACGCCTCAGAGTGCGTCTGTTTCTGGTCTCCAGCCCGGCTGATGCTCCTCAGACTCTGAGTCACTAACAGTGGGTGCCCACACTGTCCACATCATCTCTGGTGTGACCCTGGCGGGATGGCACAGGACTTGTCCTCCAGCAAATGCACTGGCGTCTGGTGCCACTTTGCTGTCGGCTCGCCTAGCTTGGGCTCCCAGTACCTCTCAGCTCCAGCTGTCCGCTGTGTTTCTGGGTGGAATCTGCGTGCGTGTGCCAGCCAGATGCACTGTGTCTGTGTGGGGCCTGCCAGTCTGCTGACGCTGTCTGGACAGATGTGCAGCCGCTCACCAGCTCTGTTCTGAGGAGCCGACTTTAGCCCTCAGTGATTGCTGCTGTTGAGTTCCAAGCCCATCTATGCCACTGGGTCCTCCGTCAGGCTCCTGCCTCTTCTCCTCTTCTCTGGGTTTGCATCTTGCCCCTGGCTGCACCTGCAACCACAGCCTTGCTGCTCCGCAGCCAGGCAGCCCCCAGGCTGTGCGGCTTGGCCAGCAGGTGCTGATCTCTGGCCTTCGTCCCCTGCTGAGTCTCTGTGTGGCTGGTTTGCCTCCTTTGACACAGCTGCCAGAAGGTGGGAAGAGTAACGGGCATTGGTGGGGGGCACCACAGGTTAGGTAACCAGGTCTGCTCAGTCTCGTCAGAAATGCCCAGTGACTTCTTTGTGTAGCGGGTGACATTAGCAGCCTCAGCACATACACACTGGGTCCTTACTAGGCTCCCAGCCAGCGCCTGCCTGTGCCTCAATTCCCCACGAGTCTAATCTTGTCCTGTGCACTGGCTGGCTCTGTGTTACCCTCCTACTCAATTCCTCCTGCATCCCTGTGGCCCTGCTGACCTCCCTGTCGTGTGTTTGCTCTATCCCTTGGCTGCCTGGCTGGTGGGAACCTATTGCTGAAAGGCAGGGTTAAAGAGAGAGGTAGAGCCAGAGAGAGAGAGAGAGCTGTTTTTATCCACTGGTTCACTCCCTAGATGGCCCTAATGGCCAGAGCTGCACTGATCTGAAGCCAGGAGCCAGGAGCTTCTTCTGGTTCACCCACACAGGTGCTGGGGCCCAAGCGCTTGGGCCATCTTCTGCTGCTTTCCCAGACCATAGCAGAGAGCTGGATCAGAAGTGGAGCAGCTGGGACTAGAACCGGCACCCATATGGGATGCTGGCACTGCAGACTGCAGCTTTACCTGCTCCGCCACAGTACCAGCCCCTCCCAGGCGTATTAGCAGGAAACTAAAAGTACAAAACTAAAAGTACAAAAGTACAAAAGCAGAGCAGCCAGGACTTGGGCTAAGTGTTCCAACACGGGATGCCAGCGTGGCAGTGCTTGGCCCACTGTGCCACAGTGCCAGCCCCTCCTTTGCTTTCTGACAGATGTGCACCTGTTCTTGTCTTGTGAGCGTGGTGGGCAGCATGGTGCTGCCCTTCAAGGGGAGCTCAGCTTCACTGATATGCACACCTCTCTGTCCCTGTGGGACTTCAGTGTGATGAAAACCTTCATTGTTAGGTACATGGGTAAATGCGTGTTTATAATATTTTTCACATTTGTGTGGCCTGCCTTCTCCTGTCTTCAGCTAGAAGCTGTTGGAATTGGGGCCAGTCTCTGGCCCCTTAAGAGAACCTGCACATGGGGACCCTTGCCTTGCAGGGATCCATAGACATTCATTTTACAAAGGAGGAATCTGGAACCAGAGTCTCCCTGTGCTCTCAGTGGCAGAGCTGAATGGAGACACAGGCCACCTAGTGGGCAGGGCTGGTCACAGCAGTCCAGCACACTTGATTTTGTGCTGGTATTAAGCAGTCCCAGTAGACTTCATGGCAGCCACCTTCTCAAGCCTGGCTCTTACTCCCTTACTCAGCTGCCTGTCTGCCCTGCTGAGGGTGCCTCCTTTCCTGCCCCTCCTGGACCTCAGCCTGACTGCCGTGCTGGGACAGTGCCTTGTCCACCAGAGACAGCTGCTGGCTGGGGCCCCACACGGTGGACCTGCTCGTGGGTATATACATCTCTTCTCTTTTTGTGTTGCAGTGAGGATGCCATGAGGAAAGCCGGTGTGGCCCACAGCAAATCTAGCAAGGATATGGAGAGCCACGTGTTCCTGAAGGCCAAGACTCGGGTAAGGCCTGCTGGGTGCAGTCCCTGGCAGAGGCACATCCTGGGGTGCCTCTGTGGGTGCAGAGAGAGTGGTGGGGGTGGCTGCCCGCTGATTGAAAACCAGCACAGCTGGCTTTGCCTGCAGCACTCTGGGTCATTGCGGGGAGGAGGGGGGGCACCACAGGTTAGGTAACCAGGTCTGCTCAGTCTCGTCCGAAATGACTTCTTAGTGTAGCGGGTGACATTAGCAGCCTGTGCATCGCGTGTGCTGGTGGTACAGGGAAGGGACCGGGTGGGTACCTAGGATGCAGGCCCAGCTTTTGGCCCCTTCCACTTGTGGTCAGGGAGCTCGCTCAGGCCTCAGGCCTCAGCTGCTCTGTGGAAAGAGGAGCACTGTACATAAGAACTAGGTCTGTGCTTAGCCTCAGCCCTCTCCGGGGAGTCCTCCTGCAAGCCCTACCAGGGCCCTGATGTGCGGGCCCAGAAGGGTTCCTGTCCATTTTGTTAGGTGAGGAAGGTGATGCTTCCAGAGGTTGAGACCCGGGACATCACGGGTGGAGTGGGGAGAAAGATCCCCACTGAGCGGGGCAGGGCTCGCTCACCTTCCTCTGCACTCTCCCTGGGGTGGAGGTGTTTCAGTGGAAGTGAGATAGAATGGTAGAAAGTGAAGGAAATTTTGTAGAAGTGAGGAAGCATGTGTATTTGGAGCACATGTATGCAAGCAAGAGCACGTGTACTGTGGTGAGGTGGGCATGGGCTCTGTGCTGTGGGCACACCACGCGTCTTCAAGAGGTTAATAGAAAATGCATCACGAACAAGCAGTGTGTGAGGCAGGCATTGTGGCGCAGCGGGTTAAGCTACCACTTTGGCCCCATGTCACCATGTGGGAGACCCTAATGGAGTTCCGGGCTCCTGGCTTTGGCCTGGTCCAGCCTAGGCCGTTGCAGGCATTTGGGGAGTAAACTAGCAGATGGAAAATCTGTCTCTCTGTCTCTCTCGCTCTTGCTCTTGCTTTGCCTTTCATATAAATAGAGGATTTTTTTTTTAAAGCAATGAATGGATTTCCAATTTTTGTCACCAAAAGAAGCATCTTTGAATTTCATTTTCCATTGATTTTTTTTTTAATATTTATTTATTTGACAGACAGAGTGACAGGGAGAGGGAGCAAGAGAGAGAAATACCTTTCATCTGCTGACTCACTCCCCAAATGGCCACAGTGGCCAGGGCTGGTCCAGACTGAAGCTTAAAATTCCATTCAGTCTTCTACGTGTTTGGCAGGGGCCCAAATACTTGGGCCATCCTCCGCTGCCTTCCCACTTGTGTTAGCAGGGAGCTGGATTGGACATAAATCAGCTGGGGCTTGAACTGGCACTTGGATATGGGACACTGAAGTGACAAGTGATGGTCTAACGTGCTGTGCCATAAGGCCAACCTCCCCATTGACTTTGCTTGATGCTCTTTAGAATGTAATAAATATTTTCTTTTCCTTTAAGACTATTATAGAGGTGTAAGTTATATACTATATAATTCACTTGTTTGAAGTGTGGCCTTTTATTTTTTTTTTATTTATTTTTTTTTTTATGGTGAAAAAACATGTATTTAGAATTAGCCAGCTGGACTCCGTTCAGATGATCCCAATTTTGTTGGCAACGTCCAGAGCATCCTAGTCAGGAGCCAGGAAGTGTGGCCTTTTAAAAACTGTTTTATTTTTATTTCTTTGAAAAGCAAAGAGAATGTTACACAGGGTAAGATCTTCCATCTGTTGGTTCATTTCTCAAATGTCTGCAACAGCTAGGGCTGGGCTGAGCCGGAGCCAGGACCAGGAGCTGGGAATTCATTCTGGGTCTCGCATATCAGTGACGGGGCCCACCTGCCTGAGCCATCACTTGCTGCCTTGCAGGATGTGCATGTCCAAGAAGCTGTGATAGGAAGTGGAGCCGAGACTCAAGCCCAGGCACTCTAATATGGGATGTAGGCCTCCCAAGCAAGTGTCTCATCCTCTCCTGCAGTGGTCTTTTATTTATTTATTTATTTATTTATTTATTTTTTAAGATTAATTTACTTGAGAGGCAGAGTTATAGACAGAGAGAGAGATACAGAGAGAGGTCTTCCATCTGCTGGTTCACTCCCCAAATGACCGCAATGGCTGGAGCTAGGCCGATCCAGAGCCAGGAGCTTCCTCCAGGTCTCCCATGTGGGTACAGGGTCTCAAGCATTTAGGCCATTTTCTACTGCTTTCCTAGGCCATTAGCAGAGAGCTAGATCAGAAGAGGAGCAGTTGGGACACGAACCACTGCCCATGTGGCATGCTGGCATAGCAGGTGGAGGCTTAACCTACTGCGTCATACACTGGCCCCCTTGCATTGGTCTTTAGGATGTTCACAGAGTTGTGCGATCATTAACACAGATTAATTTTAGAACATTTTCCATGAGAGACTCTGTGCCTGTTAGAAGTCATGCCCCATTTTCCTTTAACCCTTCACAGCCAAGAATATACTTTGTGTTGCTATGGATTTGTCTATTTTGAGCTTTTCCTATAAATACAGACATGTGGTACCTGTTTTCTTGAAACTGGCTTCTTTCATGTAGCATATTTTTCAGGTTTATCCATGAGCCATGTTGTAGCGTATGCCTCATTCTTTTTTATTGCCAACTGATAATCCATCTGTGGGTAGGTAGATCACATTTTATGTATTCACTCAGTAGTTGATGGACAGTTTAGGTTGTTCCCACTTTTTGACTATTAAGGAATTATGCTGCGTGGGTGGCAGGAACTCAGGCAGTTGGGCCATACTCCATTGCTTCCCAGGCATGTTAGAAGGGAGCTGGGGCCGGCGCTGCGGCTCTTTAGGCTAATCCACCAGCCTGTGGCGCCAGCACACCGGGTTCTAGTCCCGGTTGCCCCTCTTCCAGGCCAGCTCTCTGCTGTGGCCCGGGAGTGCAGTGGAGGATGGCCCAAGTGCTTGGGCCCTGCACCCCATGAGAGACCAGGAGAAGCACCTGGTTCCTGCTTTCGGATCAGCGCGGTGTGCCGGCCTCAGCGGCAATTGGGGGGATGAGCCAACAGAAAAGGAAGACCTTTCTCTCTGTCTGTCTTTCTCTCACTGTCCACTTATGCCTGTCAAATAAATAAATAAAAAGGGAGCTGGATCAGAAGCTGACACAGGATGCAGGTATCCCAAGCAACAGCTTCAACTACTGGATCACGATGCACATCCCCCTACGTACTAGTTTTTGTGTGGTCATATATTTTTTTTGTTTGTTTAAGATTTATTTATTTACTTGAAAGTCAGAGTTACAGAGATAAGGAGAGGCAGAGAGAGAGAAAGAGAGAGAGAGGCAAAGGGAGAGAGAGGTCTTCCATCCACTGGTTCACTCCCCAGATGGCCGCAACCACCAGAGCTGCACCGATCCAAAACCAGGAGCTTTCTCTGGGTCTCCCATGTGGGTACAGGGGCCCAAGGACTTGAGCCATCTCTACTGCTCTCCCAGGCCATAGCAGAGAGCTGGATCGGAAATGGAGCAGCCGGGATTTGAACCAGCACCCACATGGGATGCCGGCACTGCATGTGGCAGCCTTACCCGCTACACCACAGCATCGACCCCCATATGTTTTCTTTTCTTTTTATTTATTTATTTATTTATTTATTTATTTTTATTTTTTTGACAGGCAGAGTGGACAGTGAGAGAGAGAGACAGAGAGAAAGGTCTTCCTTTGCTGTTGGTTCACCCTCCAATGGCCGTCGCGGCCGGCGCGCTGCGGCCGGCGCGCTGCGGCCGCGCACCGCGCTGATCCGATGGCAGAGCCAGGAGCCAGGTGCTTTTCCTGGTCTCCCATGGGGTGCAGGGCCCAAGCACTTGGGCCATCCTCCACTGCACTCCTTGGCCACAGCAGAGGGCTGGCCTGGAAGAGGGGCAACCGGGACAGAATCCGGCGCCCCGACCGGGACTAGAACCCGGTGTGCCGGCACCGCTAGGCGGAGGATTAGCCTAGTGAGCCGCGGCGCCGGCCCCCATATGTTTTCATTTCTCTTGGATGTATACCTAGGGGGTTGATGGGTAAGTCTATATTCTACCTTTTGAGGAATTACCAAACTGTTTCCCAAAGCAGCTGTGCCATTTGAAATTCCTATCAGCAGCTTATGAGGTTCCAGTTTCACCCCATCATCCTCCCGTTATTTTTTTTCCCTAAGAAATTTACATATACACTTTAAAAATTTTATTTTTTTATTTTCATTTGAAAGGCAGAACATTGGGGCGGGGGGATATTTTCCCTTTCCTGATTTATGCCTCAGTTGACTGCAGTAGCCAGGGCCAGGCCCAAGCCAGGAGCCAGGAAGTCCATCTGGGACTCCCTTGTGGTAGCAGGAACCCATGTACACCTAGTCACGTTAGCAGAGCGGCTGGAGTGGAAGCCGAGCATCCAGGACTCAAACCAGCACCCTGAGATGGGACCACATGACAACAGTGGCTTCCGGCTGCGCCACAACACCCACTCACCTCCCCCAACACTTACTATGGTTCTTTTTTATTATAGTCATCATATGTATGAAGTATATCTTATTGTGGTTACAGTTTGTTATTTGCTTGATCAAAAGATGTTAAGCATCTTTCTATGTGCTTGTTGATCATTGTATATTTTCTTTGGAGAAATCTCTCTTCAGATCCTTTTCTGATTGGGTTGTTGGTCTTTTTATTATTGGATCGTAATAGTTCTTTGTATATTTGGATCGAGATTTCTTAATGTGAGAGAGCACTCCCATCTGCTGCAGCTCACTCCCCAGCTCCCCGCAGCGGCTGCTACTAGGCCAGGCTGAATCTAGGAGCTCTGTCCATATCTCTCACGTGGCAGGGACCCAATAGCTTGAGCTATAACCTGCTGCCTCCCAGGATCTGTATTAGTAGGAGACCAGAGTCAAGAGCCAGAGCCAGGGGCTCACGTTGTGATGCAGCAGGTTGAACTGCTGCCTGTGACTCCGGCATCCCGTATCCGAGTGCCTGTTAGAGTCCTGGCTGCTGCAC